CTTGCCTAATTCCACTTTATTTACTCTTGTTCTATATTAGGATAATCTTATTAAATCAGAAATCGTTTGTGTTCATTCGATCGTTGTACGAATCTGCCAATAATTTCTTCTGAATCCAATTCATCTAACAAGACTTTTCGATAGCAACAGGTATGATTCCAAATTCTCCTCAGGGAATTTCTAAACCATGTCTTTATGATCTTTAACTTTGAAAATATCCTCTTACTTGAGTAAATGACAGTCTGCAGATGACTTTATAAAGTTCTTATCCCTTGTAGAATCAGATTCCTACATTTTTTTTTAATCTTAAATTTTGTGCAAGTTAAACATATAGAGGCTCCCAACCAAATATAACAACTGATGCATTTTGATTGGTTGTAAAATATTAATTAGGTGTCGTCAACTACGTCCGAAGGTACCGACCCAAATTTTGACCTCTAGTTGACGCCATAAAATGTAAACATGTTCACGAGCCTCCCCATGTGACCAAGAGAACTAATAAAAACGAAACTTCGACGCGACTTGGTCAGTGGGCACTTAAAATATTGAACCAATTCACTTGACTTCATTGGAAATCAACACAGCAAAGGAGGCGAATTTATCTTCAATACAACAACAAACTTTGTCAACCATCTCCACGCTTAACGCTCACATCCACAAAATATTCCATTCCACAAGAAGAATCTCTGGTTAATGAGCGATAACTCTATAACAATCAGTGAGTCAAGAAAAATACTTTTTTCTATTTAATACAAAAAACAACTGTTTAATTTTCCTATAAAAACAAATATAGCTAACTGAACCATGTCATTTTCACACATACAGTACAGTAACTCAAATTCTTTCAGTAACACAGACACCAAAGAACTCTATTGTGTTTATCAACTTTTGCACTATATATTATGTATTTGTTGTGTTTATAAAAAATATTTTATTGTTGAACAAATTCAATTTTCTTCTACTTGATTATTTCTCTTGTTGTTGTCTTTGTTACATTTGATATTGTAAAAATTGTAGAGGGTCAGTTTTTATTTCTATTTATGACCAATACAAATTGGCTGACCCACTTTACCCTTTTATTATTAAAATAGTTGTATTTGTTTATTTATTGCATTTTTTTTATATAGGAGACACACTCCATCAGGGACCCACTTGACATAGGGCAAGCTGACACCCTGGCCAAACCGACCACTGGTACACAACATATAAATATATATGTTTACTTGACTATGTACAGGCACGGGCCGGATCATCAAGGCCGAGGTCGACATCATGCCACCATCTCATGTGTTTGGGATCTTCCAAAACCAAAGCTTATAAAAAACATATTTGTGGTCGTCCATGACACAAGACAGATTAAATTCTTTGACTATTTTTTCAATAGAAAATGATCTCATAAAGAAGATAGGTGTAGAAAATGCCATTCAAATATTTGCAGATCTAAAGGTTAGAAAAAATGTTTAAATCGGATAATGAATGTATTCTTTAGCTTGGATTCATAATAAACTCATTATTCTACATCTTTAGTTTTTCGGCTTTTGAAAAAAAATTATACAATTTTATTTGTAAGGGCGCCGAAGTTGAGCTTGTCTAGGATGCCAGCAACGTTCACACTGGACTTGAGTAACTGATAGTGTGCAGATTAACTTATAAAGTTCTTATTCCTTTTTATTGCTAAACAGATCTCTGTGTTTGTTTCTTTACTGCTTTTTTTTTTATTCAATATAGGAGGCGCACCCCATTAGGGGCCAAATTATGATCGGGCAAGCTGACACCTTGCCACTGATTTTTGCCGTTTATCAGACAAGACCTTCTGAGTAAAATTGCGCAGGTTTTCATGTGAAAAGTTGCAAATTGAATCTAGTTTTTATTAGAGAAATTGTCCCCTGTCAAAGCGATTTGTAGCGATCAAGAAAGGCAATAATGGGCTGTTTCAAGGCCAGTTGAATGGCATTACCATACGTCTCTCTTTAGAGGGGAAATCACTGTTTGATGCAGTGTGCTTTACCGCTCGGCCACGTAGAACGTTGGATCAAGCAAGACTCTATTTTCCCTTTTCTAAGAAAAGTATATCCTCTTCAGTCAGATTATTTTTTTCTCGAAAGCTCCACATCTGCCTAGTTTCGTATTCGAAATTTAAACAAAGCAATTTCTAAAGAATTAGTGAATTTATTTTTAATCCGATGTTTTTATTACTTCAAACGTTGCGCAAGTTCAATGCCTGTCGGAAAAGACATTTTCTTGACTAAGATTTATCGAATGCTTAAGGTAGTACACACTGCTTAATAAATATAAATTAGGAGTCTTTCAAATACGAACTGTTAACTATAATAACGTTTGATTAATAAAAACGACAGATTATATCTATCTATCTATCTATCTATCTATCTATCTATCTATCTATCTATCTATCTATCAGTCGTTTCATCTATCTATCTATCTATCTCAGCCGTTTCATATCTATCTATCTATCTATCTATCTATCTATCTATCTATCTATCTATCAGCCGTTTCATCTACCTATCTCAGCCGTTTCATATCTATCTATCTATCTATCTATCTATCTATCTATCTATCTATCTATCTATCTATCAGCCGTTTCATCTATCTATCTATCTATCTATCTATCTATCTATCTATCTATCAGTCGTTTCATCTATCTATCTATCTATCTCAGCCGTTTCATATCTATCTATCTATCTATCTATCTATCTATCTATCTATCTATCTATCTATCTATCTATCAGCCGTTTCATCTACCTATCTCAGCCGTTTCATATCTATCTATCTATCTATCTATCTATCTATCTATCTATCTATCTATCTATCTATCTCAGCAGTTTCATATCTATCTATCTATCTATCTATCTATCTATCTATCTATCTATCTATCTATCTATCCACCAAGCTTAACTTAATAGGTCATAACTTTCAACACCACCAAAACCATTTAGTACATTTTCTGAATCACCCGACAGACCCTGAGTTTACTCCAGTGACGATGGACGAATCCATTCTTAAGGAAGCGACATGCTTTGAGTGTCTCTTGGGTCTCAAATTCACACCATGCCGCAATCTCGCAATCCTATTATATATTTACAGATCCTTGATAAAATACAAAGAAGAATCAGCAATGTCATTGGTACTGACCTGGCATCACGACTTCAGTCATTTTCCTACCGCCATAACGTAGCTTCCCTGTGTCTTTTCTATAAATAATTTCCTGGTAATTGATCTTATGAACTCTCCTCTATGGTACCTAGACTTTATGAACTTAAGTGCCAGTATGTTATGTGTTGTTTTCCTCTGTCCCTCTTGCCCTCTATCTCTCCCGTGAGTATCAGATTTTCCAAGCCCTCTTTCCTAATTATGTGCCCCAGAAAACTCAACTATCTCTTTCTGATGTTAATTATTAGTTTCCTTTTTATTTGCATTTTCTCTAAAACTTCGTCGTTGCTAACATGTTCGGAACGTATTATCCTCAGCATCCTACTGTAGAACCACATTTCTGTTGCTTCAAGTTTCCTCTTCATCGTTAAGAATACCGTACAGCACTCAGTACTTTAGTAACACCCCAACTTGAGTAGTTCTCGAGTCTTATATTGGGCGAACTTTAGTATGAAAAACTCAAAACAGCGGGTTGCTCAATGAGGACTATGCTCATTAACTTCCAACAGCTTTCGAGACTAGTTCAATGTTATTATAATTGTTTATTTTTAATTTAAATATTATTTAATTATGATTTTGATAAATTTTTATTTTTGCAATCTAAAACTGAAAAAAGGGAAGTTTATTTTTCGGATTAATTTCTATAATTACTCACTTATCGTTATCGCCATCATTGTCGTGTGTGTAACAACGAATAACCTTCTTTCTAGAACGACTATTGCCGATAGCGTTCAGGGAGATCATTATCTTCTACATCGTACAGGGAGAAATCATTATCTTCTAGCTTTTTTGACAATTCCAAATATTAACGTCGTCGTCATGATGATTGTTTCCTTTTCCTTATCATTTTAAATACCTGGTCGATTTATCAATGAGTTTTGTTTTTACAGTGGTGTTCACGTTATACAAGGCCCTAGGGTCACTCGAGGTAGAGGGTTACAGCTTATTCGGATATTTGCGGAGGATAAAGGTTAACCTTAGACATGAATACATTAAGATTGTAGTGATCGGGGAAGCAGCCTCCTGGGAGTCGGTTTCACAAGGCAATAGTTCATTAGAAGAAGCTGCTTGAGTGGAACTTACTTCTCACCAGAGAGATATGAAGGGAATGACAGTGGTTTGATACAATGTGCATGGAGGGTTTTAGCCTTAAAAGCTAGGACTGGTGTAACTAAGGAGTGTAGGCCGAACACACTGAACACTCTCCACGGAAATAGCGATAGAACAGTGAGGGGCTTGCGACGTCTCGTCTGTGGGAAAGGGCGTGGAAAATAATTCTTTGATAACAAGGACGCGGAGACGCTTTTGGAGAGTGGAAAGGGAGGACTTGGCAGTTCTCGCCCAGATATGGCAGCAGTATGGTATTTTCGGCCTAATCTAGCTCTTGTTAAGATAAAAGATAGCAAGACGAGTGAGGTACGTGATGGAACGGTTCAGAGAACCGACCATTGTTTCCCAGTATAACTTCGGACCGTTAGAACTTGGCTGAAAACAATACCACGAATTGACCCAAGCTTCAGGAGTAAAATTGGATAGACGCTGCGCTGGCACGAATTCACAAATCAACGTAACCGTGGGTTTGAGTTTTTGGCATTGTTCAGCTACTGATCGTGTTAGATTATGCGATCGTTCCCCTAAACTGTAAGATCCACTCAGCCTAGTTGTAGTGTTAACCAAAGGTTGACCCTGAAGGTGTCAAAAAAAAAAAAAAAAAAAAAGAAGCAGAAACGTTCCCAGACAAGAACCCGGAACAGGGATTATTTACCTACCCAAGCAGATCGGCATAATCGGAAAGAAAAAGCCAACCGTACCTTGAATTAGGTACCCTGCACATGAACTTGTAAGTTCATTAAACAATTCTTTTTCTCTCTCTTTTTCGTCGTCTCTCGCATATATATATATATATATATATATATATATATATATATATATATATATATAAAGCATTTCACCCCAAGCAAAACGGGAAGACACTAGGACGCAAGGGGTTACAGAAAATAGAGCGAGATCACATAGGAGTGATAGAAGAAAGGATGAGGAGAAGGGTAGTGGATAGATCAAGACAACTGGAGATGTCGATTGACATTACATTTGAATAGCTGGAGATTATAGCTCTCAGGGAAACTGAAATAGGGAAGGGAGTTCCACAGTGGAGAGGTGCGAGACATGAAGCTATTAGAGTAGAAGAGACGGCTACATTTAGGAGTTTCGACAGTGAAGGGGTGAGAGCGGGATGCCAGCCTCGTAGGGCGCTTGAACTCATGAAGTCTGGGAACCAGCGAATGCAGCTCCTCGGAGCAATTACCATTAAAGTATTTGTAGAACAGACAGAGAGAGGTGACGGCGCGTCTGTGAGAAAGTGACTATATATATTGAGTGCTTTATTTTTATGGTTTATCAACCTTTAGCAGGTTATTTAAAGCTAGAAAATATTTTTAGATTGTAAGAATTTTTGGCGATAATAACTATTTAATGTCATAAGTCACACTAATTAACAAATAGATGGTGGGAGGAAAAGGTGGAGTCATGTCTTTAACAAGGGTATTTGCGCGACTAGAATTGGAACTTGGCTCTTCCATATCCAATTCCGAGCCATTATTCATTACACCACCCACACATCTAATCTTACGGCACCTGGTAATCACAAGTTGTCTCCCTAACCTTACTGCACCTGGTAATCATAAGCTGTCACCCATCTAGCTATTGACAAGACCAACGTTGTTTAACTTCTGTGATCCTACGAAAACCGGCGTCTCACCCTGATAGAGCCGTAAGCTCGTTCTTTGTCTTTTTTTCTTACTTACTTGCTTTCTATCTATCTATCTATCTATCTATCTATCTATCTATCTATCTATCTATGAGTATTTGTGTGGGCATGTCGCATCTATGAGCCCTGGTGGTGGTCTTTCAAACTTATTACCGGTTAAGGCTGCTATTCGTTTTTTGCCACCGCGGTGAGGCGACGCTGAAGTGCCCTCTGTGCGAGAGCGACAGTTACACAAGCAACATGTGTCCCCTCTCTACGTCACCGATGTTGTTCAAGCGAAGGGCACATGCAGATACTGCTTGGCAGTGATATCATAGTAGCATATACCAGCAAGAGGTTGAGTGCAAAGTCGGGCTACGTTTCTTTGAGTATATCCGTAAAAAATTGACGGCTCTTTATTGTTTCAAGAACGCGTCTAAATACTTTGTGTTTTAGTACCTTAAACATATTTTGAGTATTCTGGTTAAAATTGTTGATTTTAGCGATTTACTAAGCCTAACGTACAAGGGGGCAAGTCCGAACGACCTAGTAAGGATCGAACTCACTAATCAGTCGTAATTGATCTAACGAGTTTGTTAACCATTACACCACGTCGATAATGACGTCTAGTCATTGTTTAAAAGAAGTCTTCCGAATTATATATAGACTTTTACCACTTTACTTACACAAGTTAAAAGGTATTCTCTGGATATATGTAGACTGTACTGACACACTAACATTTTTTAAAATTAATCTTCCCTGCTAAAATGAATGTCTTGTATACCCGTGGATGCTATGATGTCATCAATTAAGGTAGACATTTACTACGACGTATTTTATAGGAAAAACGTATAGGAATACATTTCCGTGTGACGCGTTTCGGACTTTATCGGACTAAGCTTATGTTTACGTGGATGCGACTGCACATGCGCACAAACGATTAGAGAAACGCTGATAATTTAAAATTTAGAAATAATTGTTTTTAATATGTGTTTTGGGTATATTGTGATGCTAACGAATACTCGTTGCCACTTTTGTAATGCTCGTTGTAATCGCAGATTACAAATATAGTAAACCGTTGAACAATGCTGGAGTCAGACGCCTTCGAATAACACTTGCACTAATAGTACTTGTTTGATAATACTTGCTCGAATAGTAATCCGTATAGTGATCCTAATAGAGAAATAATATAATGAATAGAGTAGAGAATAGCGGTCCCTATAGTAATAGAGGATAGAATAGAATTGGCGATCCGAATAGTAATAGAGGATAGAATAGAAATAGAGATCCGAATAATACTAGAGGATAGAATAGAAATGAATAGTCTGAATTTCCTCTATGGTCATGTAGCCTACTTACTTCAATAATGTGATTGCCTGTGTTGGCTCACTGCCGATCTATGTTCAAACTCATGTGTCGGCACCGACACTTTATTCCTACATAACAATAATACAGCCGATTTCATTCTTTTTCTTTGTTTCCATCACTTTTGTTATTAAATATCCTACATTGTGATAATACAGGGTGTCCGTTAAAAAAGCGGTAAATTCAACCAGAAATTTATTTAGCTTTCAGGATTCATGTACAAACTGAACAACCATTGTAGATGTTAGAAATGTTTGCCTGAATGTTAAACACAAAGTTGTAAGCATGGTAACCAGGAGGCAGTAGCTTTGCGGATAGCGTCAAGAGGAATTTCATTCCAAGCTTCAGTTAAGTTCCATTTCAATGAATCATTATCGATGATGTCAAGACGACGGTTTTGCGAGTGACTTAGGAGTATACTCCATATCAGCATTTCTTAACTGGGGTTCCCCGGAACCCTAAGGTTCCGCAAAAGGTCCCCAGGTGTTACCTGATTTACCTTATGTCTTTTCAACATTGCCAGTAAACGATAAAAAAAAACTGATGCAGCAATTATCTGTTTTTGTTCTGTTTACATTTACATTATAGGTATATGGTATTAGTTACTTATGTTTATTTTTTACATTTGAGTTTAGAATTTTTTGTGTGAATGAAAACTCCCTAATAAAGTATTAGAAACGAACGGTATGAATTTTATTTAGCATTACTGAAAAAGTTGACAAAAAAGTATTAATTTTTCCTTATACCAGTTATTCAAAAATATATACCTTGATATTTACCACGTGAACTACGATGAAAATAAAAGATATGGTATATGGTTTTGTTTTTGCGCAGGGTTTCCTCAAGACATGTAATTTATTTTAAGGGTTACGCAAGGGTAATAAGGGTGAGAAACGCTGCTCCAGATACAGTAATCGATAAAATTCAGATCTGGGCTTTTAGAAGGCCGATGAGATGGACCAATTAAAGGTGGTATATTTTGCCGAAGAATAAATTTGCCGCCTTTTTACTGGGCACCCTACAGATTATGAAAAAGCGTTCGATAAAGTACACCACAAAGATCTGTTGGAAGTGCTCATCAAAACTGCGACTGATATTAGAATAATCAAGAATCTATACTGGCAGCAACCGGCAACAAACCACATGCACACGGATAGAAAATGAGTTCAGCTGATATGCAAAAGTAAAAAGGGGTGTGTATTCTCACCGTATTTAATATCAGAAAAACCAATACAAATCCAGAAGATCTGACAAGAAAAGTACAAAATTGTAAGAACCTTGACGCAAATTTACTATGGATGATATTACGATTAAAGCACTTTCTAAACATTTTGGTCTCAGTGAATTGTTTTCTCTTTTAATTAGCGTAGCATTTTTAAAATCAAAATTGTGGTCAGTATGTATCGTATCTTCTTAAACACCTTGTAAAAGTATCTTTATTTAAATAGTAATGTATATGTACAAGATGTTCTATAATCTCTGGTGAAGAGTTTCTCTATAATCTCTAGTGAAGGGTTTATCTATAACTAGCAGTAGAGCCCGGCGTTGCCCGGGGATATAACAGTAAGAGATAGATCAAGTATCGACCATTATAAAGACTGAAAAATAAAATTGACAAAGATTATTGTTTAAGGTTGACGGACACACATTTTTTTTATGAATTGGTCAAACCCAAACTCAAACAAAAACATTGTTTTCAATCGTTATGAGTCTACCGATTGAATAGAATTTTATTATAAACAATTGTCTTGTAAATGGAATTTTTAAAGCATTCTGAATGTAAAAATAAAGAAAAAAAGTGTTCAATACAATAAAAACACTACCTGCCAAAAAAAAAAGTGAAGTTTTGTTGGAATCTGTTGAAAAATGTAGGAAATCCGATCCCATATATAAACGAACACACACACACACACACACACACACACACACACACACACACACACACACACACACACACACACAACCTGGGTTTTATAATAAGTATAACTCGATATGAGTTGTCCCCCTTTCATTCTCGCGATAGCGATGCCTTTTAATCGTGTTTTTCAAATTTATTTCATGCAAAAACAATTGTGTTTTTCCAATTTTGGGTGCTGTCAGAACCACCGCAAGGTAATTTTACGTAGTCCTGTGAAGTTTTGTTGAAATCGGTTGAAAAATGTAGGAAATCCGATCCAATATATAAACGAACAGACACACAACCTGAGTTTTATAATAAGTATGATCTCTGGTGAAAGGGTTCTCTATAATCTCTGGGTTTCTCTCTTCTTTATTCAATGTTTTGTTCTGGGAAAGTTTCCCAAATGCCAAGTTTATATCGGGGACATTTTTCTCCTGCTGTCTACTTCATTGCTTCTTGACGGAGCTTCTTAACATAATTCAGGTCACGAAAATAATTATTGTAAACATCCTAATGTCATAGTCATTATAATTGTTTTAGATATTAATTTAAATCGTATTTCATTATGATTTTGATCAAATTTCTGTTTAATTACTCACTTATCGTCATCGCCACCATTGTCGTCTGTGTGACAACGGATATCCTCATCCTGAGATCGATTGTTACCGATAGCGTAGAGGGAGAAATCATTATCTGCTGCCTTATTACCTTTTCTGTCAATTCTAAATATTAACGTCTTCATCATTGTTAATGTTTCTAATGGTGTCTCTTCATTATTATCTTAAAAATCTAAATTATCTCGGAGATATCAATCGCTGCACCACCTCTATTCAAAAAACGTTACATCTGGTTAATTTTTTATATCTTGTGGATGACGCTGTGGACAAAGTGATGACAAGTCTCTCACTTCAACACTCTCCTGATTTTAGAAAGGCTGCCAGCTTCTTCTTTTACGTGCTGTGTATCTTCAGGGCGTAGGTGATTATGGCCCTCCACATCTTTCCGTTTCTTGTAGTTCTTAACAAATTTTGTCTTTTTGTTATTTCTCCCAAACCCTGTTCTGCCATCCATTTGCTCAAAGTATGTTACGCGCTGTTTACCTCTTTCCCCTTGTCCTGTGAGTATCAAATTTTCCCAACCCGCCTTCCTCATTTTGTGCCCTAGAAATTTAAGTTGACTCTTCTTGATGTTAAGTATAGGTTTCCTTTTTGTTTCCATGCTCAACAAAATATCATTGCTGCTAACATGTTCGGCATCTTTCTGTATTTGATTCCTCCTCGGAATTTCAATTCTTCTAAAATCTTCAGAACTGTTCCAGGCACGTCGATAATGCTGGGTAGAGATTTCAAGTTTATGTTTGGCAATATCTTCATTTCTCTTCATGTTTTTTTTAATTTTTTTTATTGTGTTCTCTCTTCGCCTTCACTTGTTCTTTTAAACTGCCATTAATAACGATTCTGTCTTCTGAGCAACCATGTTAATGTCTCTTCCGCCATTTCTTTTGTTTGTTGGTTGAAATGCTCGGACATTTGTATTTCTTACAATTCTTTTAGCGTTTATTTTATTTTGCGGTTTTTGTTTCACCGCAAATTCCGTCTGTAACGACCAAACGTTTATTGCTTTGTAATCCACATGTTTCTTGACAACTGAGTTACGGTTAAATCACGCTGAAACACCGGTTCTCGTTCGATCACCGAAGTTAAGCATCGTAGAGCCAGGTCAGTACTTAGATGGGGGACCGCTTGGGAACACCTGGTACTGTAAGCCCCCAAAGTCCAACCCTTACCTCACAGTCGGTGGGGGGGGCGTAAACGGTAGTGTCAGAGCTATGCCGCCTGGAACTTCGTTCCTGGTAGGGCCACCGAAGGCGGACAGGTCTGACACACACGCCGGCTAACAAGGGCTCTGGTGAAAATCCAAGGAGCGTCTGCATCGGCAGCCGGCGGCTTCTGGTCGTTCCTGTCTCTGCGTCTGTGGGAACCCCGCGGCAAGCAAGAACGTTATCCGAGTAGGCCTGGGTACCCTACTTCTGTAATTTATCCCAAGAATCTTCTTCTCATAACAGGAAGAAGCCGGCTCAATCCGACCAGGGTGAATGCCGCATCAGTACAGTACAGTGACAGCTGGAGTGAATACATTCTTCCTTGCTGATGCATTCTTACTGTTTCATATACAGGCATTTCGCTGCAGGTTTTTATGAATTGTCCAAAATTCTTGATTTAAACAAAAAATCCAAATTTCTCATCTTTTTTTATTGTCTTCTTTAGACAGCTTCTCTGTATATCTGAGTGTGGATACTTTACAAGTATTTCTTTTCATCATGGTCCTCTAACCACCGCTGTATATGCTACTATATGGCATCGAGGCGTGGCCAACAGAACAAGACCCCCGCCTCCCGCATCCATGGCTTTGACTCCCGCGCTCTCAGAACCATTGAGCCGATCCGTCATAAAACCGGCCAGCTAAGCAGCATCCCCCGCACCATCTTTCAGCGCCGTCCTGATGACCTGATGACCATTCCACCAGTCATCTACCAGTTCGACATACGACCGCCAGCAGATCAATCTGGCACAGGACGATACTACGAAGCTCTGCCAAGACTTTAAAAGCTGTAGGGATAAGGTAGTTCTTGTGGGATCAAAATCTGCATAGCATGAGATTAAGATTGCTAGGCTATGATGAGTTTAGTTCCCGAAGCGAGCTTTGTGTTACTAAGCTAGCCATTTTTTTTTAGATTGTTCTTCATCTCATTCTGTTTGAATTCGCTTCCAGTATTCCCTAGATACTTGTATTATTTACATTATATCGCGATCGGGAATCGTTCGCGGGCGTTCCCGATCGCGATATAATGACCCATCAAAGTCGTAGGGGATCCACATTTACCACAGGAGAAGTGGTGTTTCTTGATAGTCTGACGGAGACGAACCCTCTCCAGGTCTATTTTTTTTGAGAGTTACCTTCCCCTAGACCAACTGCCATCCAAGGCTATAGAACCCAGTCTGTCCTGCTATTTACCCATAACTGGGTGGTGGGAGAAGAAGACGAGTCATACCTTTCCCAAGAGTATTAGTACGTAAGTGAATGTAATGGATCCGACTGGAATTCGAACTCCGATCTCCGATTCCTCAATCAGAGTCGCTAATTACTCCACCGTTCCTTATATTATATATACTCGGACTAATCTCCTCATCATGTGCCCTTTAAACTTATTCAGGTGTCTCTCGGGTAACCTTCAGGGAATTTCGAACTTAGCCCTTTATTTAATCTATGGGGATAGATTGTTCTTTTTCCGCGGTCCTTATTTAGGAATATACAGTTTTGTTTTTGCACTTCACTGTTAGTGCTAGCTATGATTCCATTGAGTCTCTACTTAATTTTAATGATACTCTTGGTTGGATGCTTTTTTGTTAATCCTCTCTCTGTCTCTTAGCCAATCTCTCGTCCAAAGTCGCTTTGCAACGCCCCCAAAACTCTCCTCATCGTGAGTGATTTTTTTTACTTCTGTTATGACAAAACCTCTAGCAACTTTAATAGTTATAGTTTCAAGAATTTATATATATATATATATATATATATATATATATATTTTTGTCTGACGATCGCTAAAGCGTGAAACCCAGGGTCACAAACTCACATCTATCCAACCAAATATGTTAGCTCTATCTCTGATATTGAGCGCTTTCTAATAAGTACCGCGCATATAATATATAAATAATTATATATATCTATATATATATTTATTTATGTTTATATACACACACTTTTCACACACACACACACACACACACACACACACACACACACACACACACACACACACACATATATATATATATATTCAAGTATGGTTAGTTAAATAATTTAGACGTATTATATCTACTTATTTTAGTTTTAATGCTTTGAAGTCCACGAATTTATTTCTTGATGGCTGCAGAAAATTTACCATTTTTTTTTCAAATGATTTCCCAAATACTTTCAATCACATCTGAAACCATCTTCAGGGGTTGCCTATCTATGGATGTCTTATGCGTCAAGACTGTAAATTCAAAGTATTTTTTACCTCTATTCAAAGGAGGTAACTTATGTGATTTTTTTCTAATTTTTTTTAAAAAGATTTCTTAATTGTAGTATTTTAATTCAGTATTTTTTATATAACACTTTGCCGCTACAAACATTTAAGAATTTTGTTGCTATATTCGTAGATGACTTTATTTATTTTTGGCCGCAATTCTTTTACATAAAGCGCTTCCAGAATTATAGGTTTTTGCTTATTATTATCTTGATGAAGTACTGATGTATTTTCGACTAATATCTGTCTAAACTGTGAATGTGGACATGAGTGTTCCTTTAAATTTTCTGAGATTGAACTGTGATCGTTCAAGTGAAACGTAAGCCTTCTCGTCATCGTTGTTGTTGTAAAACCAACATCAGTATTAACATTTTTATCAGAAATCTCCCAAAGGACAATTAAATTGATATACGATGTTGGTCTTTTGTAAGACACTAGTTGACGGAGAAGAGTTGTTATGGATGACTAGGTTGCTTGTATTAAGTTTAGTATAGTACATAAATAAATTTATTTTTTTTACTTGGATTAGTGGGGGATATATTAGTGTTTATGAGTCTTTTAGAGTTTTTCTTTATGCTTTTTTCCTCATGCTTTCTTTCTTTCTTTCTTTCTTTACTAAGTTACTTTCAATTTACTTTCTTCCTTTTTCTTTCTTTCTGTCTTTTCTAAGTTGTTTTCAATTTCCTTTCTTTTCTTCTTTCTTTCTAATTAGCTTTTATTTATTTTTCTTTCTTTCTTATTTCTTTTCGTTGTCCTTATTTTCAATTCATTCATCATAACACATTCTTTCTTTCTTTCTTTCTTTCTTTCTTTCTTTCTTTCTTATCAGCTTTCAATTATGTTTCTTATTTCTTTTCGTTGTCTTTATTTTCAATTCATTTGATTGCGGTATAGTAGTTTGATGTGTTTTTAGAGATATTTATGTTTCTACAGCCACCAAGAAATTAATTCGTGGATTTGAAAGGATTAAAACTAAAATAAATCAACATAATACGTCTAAATTATTTAACCAAACATGCTTTAAATGAAAATAGGCTGTCTAAACACACACACACACACACACACACACACACACACACACACACACACACACACACACACACACACACTATTAATTGAGTATAGCCATGGATCCCAATATAGGAGATACTTTCACTGAACTAGAAGAAAAACTGAAAAGTTACCAATCCATTATGCGCAGTTGTGGAAAAGAGACCGCAGAATAACTGCTACAATTCAGAAGAGAATGCATGGAGCATTGGGATTGTCAGCCGATAGTTGTGTGGCATGTGTTTAGGCAGGACTTGAACAACATGGACTCTGTGGTCTGTGACTATTGTCTTCAGTGGGTGAACCTGAAATGTATTGTCTAGAGAATCATGCCCAAGGGCAAGTTTTGGCTTTGCAGAGACTAAAGTGATTAAAATATTCAGAGACTTTTATATTTCTTTTAACAATTGATCATGAATTTTAACTTGTGTTTTAACAATTGATGGTGGAAAAGATTTTAAATTGTCTTAACAATTGGTGGTGAAAATAAATAAATTTCTGTGTTAAATATGTCTGTTGTTATTTTTCTTTTTACATTACCTGCTTCATAATAATAAAAATATTTACCGGCAAAATAACCTGAGGGTCTATTTTACCGAGACATAGCCTCTTCATTTTTTTATTTTTTATTTATTAATTCGGTTACAAAGGCATGGTGGATAGCGGTTCGGATGGAGGAATCGGAGAGCCGAGTTCGAATTCCAGTTGAATTCATTTTACGTGCTAATATCCTTGGGAAAGGTATGAATCCTCGTCTTCTCCTTTCAGCTATGAGTAAATACCGGGACAGACCGGGTTCTATAGCCTTGGATGGCAACTGGTCTACCGCAGAAAGAAATGGCAACCTACTGCGGGAAAAAATCTGCCTTGTCAGTCATGTATCGAAAGATGCATGATCGCGTAAGCGTGTATCACGCATGGCACATAACTGACCGACTACAAAGGTAGCTACAATCAATAAAATAATGGTTAATTTGTGCATCTTCGGATTTGACAAAATTCTCGAATTTTTTAGATGCTAACGAAGGTAAAATGTTTGAATTTTCCCCAGAGTTAAGTTTTTCAAACCCTTCCTCTAAATCGTCTTCCTGGTTTAGGCCCGTCTGAATCGAGCCCCATTATTGATTTCTTAGCGTTTTATATAAAAGGATAGACAACGATTGAATGACCAACCAGAAACCATCTGTGGGTGCCTGGCAAACCGTTTGTGGTGGTGAAGAAACGAGCAGAGTGTCGTTCGAATGAGTCGGGAAACAGAGGCGCATAAGGAGATGAAATTTCACTGATATATATCTATTATTTTATCCTCTATTCACTAAGTCAATTTGGAGACATAATCGTTGAAAAGTTTCTCAAACTCTTTAATATGGAGGAGGTTCTTCATGTTAATATCTCTGGAATAACATTTCAGACTTTCAAGACAAGGTTTTATTTTATAGCAGTTTTTTGGCACAACATTCATGTACCTGTGGAATATGTGGCACCACTTGGATATATTTCGGCCTGTTTTCTATTCTGAATATTCTTCCTTATCATGATTCTTTCAGTTTCTGATATTTTTTCGTTTTTCATTCAATAATAAAATAGTCTTTGTTTCTTCTATTTATTTGTTAGTTTTTATTTATCTGCTTTTTTGTTGTCTCGTTTCTTTTTAATTTGTTTTCAATTTTTTTCTCTAATCTATCTTTGTATATTTGTTTATTTTTTCTTTTAGTAACCATTTCCTTCCTTCCTTCCTTCTTTCGATCCTTCCTTCCTTCCTTCCTTCCTTCCTTCCTTCCTTCCTTCCTTCCTTCCTTATTTTGATATCATCCAATCCTTTCTTTCCTCTTTTCTTTCTTGCGAATTTCTTTTTTAAAAAATTGTTTGTCAATTATTTTTTCTAACCAGCTTTTAATTTTCTTTCTTTTCTAAGTGTCTTTCAATTTCTTTCTTTCTTTCTTTCTTTCTTTCTTTCTTTCTTTTCTAAGTTGTTTTCAATTTTCTTTCTTTCTTTTTCTTTTCTAAGTTGCTTTCAATTTTCTTTCTTTTTTTTGTTCTTTTCTAAATAGCTTTTAATTTTCCTTCTTTATATCTTTTCTTTCTGTCTTTTCTAAGTTGCTTTCAATTATCCTTCTTTCTTTTTTCTTTCATTTTTTTCTAAATTGTTTTTAATTTTACTTCCTTCTTTTCCCCTTTTTCTTTCTTTATTTTCTAAGTTGCTTTCAATTTACTTTCTTTCTTTTTCTTTCTTTCTGTCTTTTCTAAGTTGTTTTCAATTTCCTTCTCTTCTCTTCTTTCTTTCTTTCTAATTAGCTTTTATTTATTTTTCTTTCTTTCTTATTTCTTTTCGTTGTCCTTATTTTCAATTCATTTATCATACCACATTCTTTCTTTCTTTATTTATTTCTTTCATTTTTTCTTTCTTATCAGCTTTCAATTATTTTTCTTATTCGTTTTCGTTGCTCTTATTTTCAATTTATTTGTCTTAGAAAACTTTAGATCTTTCTTTCTTTCTTTCTTTCTTTCTTTCTTTCTTTCTTTCTTTCTTTCTTTCTTACCTACCTCTCTACCTGCGTACCTACCTACCTACAGCTGAAACACTTGTTTGTTGAGCTGCTTGATCAACATGTGAGCTTAACCCGGAACCCAATTCCTCGACTTCAATAACAAAAGAACGGAGTACAAGAACGACGACTGGTCACATAAAAATAGGGCAATGATGTTCTTTCTTGATTAGATTACAACAGACACCTTCATTTTATTGATTGGCCCGCCAGATAGAATGCAAGAAAAAATTTGAAGCACTGAGGTGGGGAAAAAATCAAACTCTAAGTGTACACAAGATGGCTTCTAGGCATTTCTTGATTGAGAGGTAAATAGCGCATTTAAGAAAGAACTGTGTTTAAAAAAAATTTTTTTTTTGCATTTTTAAACGTAAGGTGTTATATATATATATATATATATATATATATATATATATATATATATATAGGTGGCAGTGTCAAAGAGTATGCTCGGTTTTTAAGAAGGTGGGCGTGCGATCTTCCCCCTGCCAGTACAGACTCATCAGATTCCTCAGTATCATTAGTAAGCTTTTTTTGAGGCCATAATCAATAAGAATATATTTTTTGCATATATATATATATATATATATATATATATATATATATATATATATATATATATATTTCCTATCAATAGTAGACTTAGTAAAATATTTAATAAAAACACCCTAAATTTAAGTTACAGCTGCACTGAAAATCTAGAAAGTATAATACAAAAACAGAATAATAAAATCCTGAATAAACCCCCATGCCAAAATAGTATTAATAAAAACCCTACACTTAAATTAGACAAAAAAAGTGAAAAAATTATATGAATGTGAAACCCAGAAGACTGCCCATTGGAAAATAAATGCCGCGTAAAATCTGTGGTATACCAATGTACTATTTCACGATATACATTGGGTCTACGAAGAATGAATTTAAAACCAGATGGAGGCATCATAAGTGCTCCTTCAACAATATAAATAAAAGAAATCTGACATCTCTATCTAAATATTTTTGGCATTTGAAGGAAATGAATAAAACACCAAAAGTAAAATGGAAAATTATAAACAAAACTAGAACTTGTAAAACTTGGGATGACCCATGCCCTTTATGCCTACATGAAAAACTACACATTATTAAGTTTCTAAATAATAAAAATCTATTAAACAATAGACATGAGTTAACGGTTTTTTGCCCACATCAAATTTTCGCATTGAATAATTAGCATAAAAACAAACAAACAATAAAATAATTTTTAAATTCCATAGTCTAAATAAATAAATGTCCTACAAAAAAGAAAAAAAGATAACCCTTTATGAAGTCGTAAAAAAAAACAAAACAAATGTTAGCGACTATGTTATGACAGTTTTTTTTATATACACAAAACCCTTTCAGAAATAAATAAAAAATTAAATAAAAAATAAATAAATCTCCATAGATACTTAACCAGACAAGATGATGTCATCTTCCGCTTTGAATATAGACACCCCAACCTTACCCTGACTTGACCTCTTTGAATGTAACTGAGATATTGATACAAATTATTAACCCTTACGCCACTTTTCTTTAAACAATTGCTCTAGCCGTTACCATAGTAATTTTAATTTCAACAATAAATATGCTTATAAAATGCGTAAATTTTAGGAATTAGTTATCCCAAAGAAAATTTGAAGATGGAACAGAGTTTGCTACTTTAATTCAATTTAATTCAAATAATTATATTGAAGTTTTCGGCTCTTGTTTTGAAACATGAGAACTCTTATGTAGCGTTGGAATCATATTTTTAAATAAATAATTATATTTATGCTCTACTTTTGTATCGAGCACTATTTTTTTTTATAAAATAATAACAAAATACAAAAGAACTTTGGATTATTTACCTAACGAGTTCTTTCCTATTTTCTATATATTTTACACACATATTTACAATTACATATATATATATGAGTTTGTTTATAATTATATAATATATATATATATATATATATATATATATATATATATATATATATATTATATATGTAATTATATATATATATTTCTGATTAAATTGAATTAATAATACAATTTTATATATATATATATATATATATATATATATATATATATATATATATATATATATAATTAATAATATAATCTATCTATCTATCTATACATATATATAATTTTTTCTAATTAAATTGAATTAATAATTGCTCTAGTATGAAATTGATCTCTCTGGATTACATCCTTCTTGGGATTATCCATACGGATTACCAAACTTTTCATTACCTATATATATATATATATATATATATATATATATATATATATATATATATAATATAATGTGGCAGGTGTCAAGAGTATGCCCGGTTTTTAAGAAGGCGGGCGTGCGATCTTCCCCTCCATTACATACCCATCAGTCTCAGTACCATCAGTAAGCTTTTTGAAGTCATAATCAATAAGAAAGTCCTCGAGCACACAGAAAAGTACAATTTCTTCAGCGACGAGTAGTATGGATTTCGATCCGACCGATCCACTGCTGACGTACCATCACTCACAGAATTAGTGAGGCTCCTGACGACAAAGTCACCTCGATGACCATAGCATTAGATTTCCCAAAGACCTTCAACAAGGTGTGGCACAAAGGTTTACCACACAAGCTGTTTAGTTATGGAATCCTTCCTAACATGGAGGTCCCTGGAGGTCGTTATTAATGGCTCGTCCTACAGAGACTTACCGATCAACGCAGATATCCCCTAGGGTAAATCCTTGGACCAACCCTCTTTTTGATTTACGGATCATTTGTAAACATATATGCTGATGGTATACGGGTTCCCCCTCTAAAATTCTCGATGGTCAGAGATTGAGTACTGATCTCTTTTCGATCTTGCACAAACGACCCAATGGGTTAAAAACTGACTGGTTACTTTCATTGCCCCGAAAACTAAGCTAGTTACATTCCATTATCGTCGATCTGATCCCGAAATATCATCGATCAGGACGAACGGATGTCCTCTCGGGGAAGAACCCTGCCTTGAAAAACTATTGGGCCTCAAACTCACACCTGACCTCAAGTAGAACTCGTACATACGATCCATTGCTAAGGATGCAGGTAAAAATGGTTGGCTCCCTCTACCGCAGCAGTAAGTATCTGACTCCTCCTGTTATCCTCTACCTTTACAAAATCTAGATCAGGCTAAAAATAGAGTACTTTTGTCATATTTGGGTGGAGTCTGCCAAAACCTCACTCTCCAAAAGCGTTGTGGAGGGCGAATTATTCTCCATATTTCAACCCCTCTTCCACATGCAGGATGTGGAAAGCCCTTTTCTGCTCTACTGTTACTTCCATGAAACGTGCTCGAACGAACTACATTCCCTGGGCCCGACAAGGCAAACCTTCACGGCAAGAACACGCCGTGCCACTTACATAGTGTCAAACCACCCACATTCCTCCCGTATTCCATCTGTGAGAAGGAAGTTCCACTAGAGCAGCTTCTTCCAGTGAACCACTACTCAGTGGAATCGACACCCAAGAAAAAAAGAACTAAAAAGAGAGATTATAAAAAAGAAAGACCATCAAAATATAAAATAGAAAAAAGAAAAAACAAAAAGGAGATATAGAAAAAGAAAAGAAAAGAAAGAACATGAAAAGAAAAAAGAAGACAGGGACAAAGAAAGAGAGATTTGAAAAAGAGAAAGAAACTTCAAAATATGAAAGAAAGACACAAATACACGCGCGCGCGCGCGCACACACACACACACACATATGTGTATATGTAAATTAAATAGAATCGAAATTTAAAATTACCTTATTTCGTTATAGCTATTTCACCACACAAGAAGAACTTACTTGCAGGGAGTTTCGACATCGATAAGTAAGAAATAAAATAAATTGGAAGCTTAAAAATTTTTAAACAAAGAAGAAAAAAGTAAGAAAATTAAAGAAAAAAAAACAAAAAAGTAAGTGAAAAAGAAGAATATAAAAAATGGCGCTGGATTCATTAGGATTATATACCAACGGATATATATATAGATTCCCAAAAAAAACATGAGACTTCTTATGTCGCGATTTGGAATCATATTTTTAAATAAATAATTATATTTATGCTCTACTTTTGTATCGAGCACTATTTTAAAAAAATAATAACTAAAATACTAAGGGACTTTGGATTATTTACCTAACCAGTTCCTTCCTATTTTCTATATTTTCACACACACACACACACACACACACACACACACACACACACACACACACACATATATATATATATATATAAAAGTGAACATAGAAGTCAACACTTAGAGGCGACAGTCTGTTTCATGCTATATACAATCGTCAGGCCACATATGCTTTGTTTATTTATTTGGGTCAAATTATGTTGCTCGTTTTTATTTTTTTGTTTCTTATTTTATTTATTTATTTATTAACGTAGTAAAAATTTGTTTATATCACGTTTTAACAAATAACCGCCATAATAGAATACCCACAATGCACCACTAACCCGTATATATATAAATAGCCGAGAAAAATAACAGCGTATGTGGCCTGACGATTGCATATAGCATGAAACAGACTGTCGCCTCTAAGTGTTGACTTCTATGTTCACTTTTATATTTACACACGCTCTATCTCTGATATTGAGCACTATATCCCATAAATATTAAGACTATATTTCTTTAATATATATATTTATTTATATATATATATATATATATATATATATATACGACAGTTTAAAAGTTTGAGGCCAGCCGCTGTTAATTTTTAAATTGGCCCCAAAATTAGTTGTTTTGTACTTTAAGAAAGAGAAAATTATTATACATGCTTAAAAAAAAGCAAAAAATACACGCAAATATATAACAGAACTTGGAATACGAAGATCGACAGAAAAACTAACGGTTGAATAGAAAGTCTGCTTAAAATAAAGTATAAAAGCATATATATATATATATATATATATATATAGAATGATAGATAGATAGATATGAACAAACAGCCTGACAGAGAGAGAGAGAGAGAGAGAGAAACAGGCAGATAGATAAATAGTTAGTTACATAGATAGATAGATACGAACTGACTGAGAAATTAGATAGATATGAGCAGTCATCCAGCCAGCCAGCCAGGAAGACAAATAGACAAATAGAGAGATACCACCAAATTTAGATAGATATGAAAACACGTGTCTGTATGTATACATATATGAACAAGATACACATTTATATATGAACGAACTTAAGTCAGATAGATGTAAATATACTTAGATGTGAGATAGATAACATTTGTATATGATATATATATATATATATATATATATATATATATATATATATATATATATCGATAGATAAGATTTATATATGAACAAACTTAGGTATTTAGATAGGAACACACATATGTCCCTATCATTTGTTATCTACCTATCTATCTATCTATCTATCTATCTTATTACTGTAATCCCTGTATATATATATATATATATATATATATGGTGCGATGAATAAATTATCGTATAAATAACGCGAAAATGACACTGACATTTCATTTTAATAGATATATTTACCAAAATTACACCAAAATATCTTAAAAATACTAAAGATTAAATTTATTCAGTAAAATCGCCATTGCCTTCAATCACGACCTCCAGACGACTTAGAAGTTGGGTAATGCTGCCATAATCATTGCGTTCAGTTCATCTTTGGTGTTACAAGGTGTTTTGTTTGTCACTTGCGTAACTGCGCCCCACACATACTAATGAAGGAGGTTGCAATCTGGGGAGTTAAATGGGAAGATGTAAGGAGTGATGTGGTTGCAGAATTTGTCTGACAGCCATGATTGTATTCCAATGACATGGTGCAGAATCCTGTTGCCAGATATAGGATCTTTCAGCAGCCACTCTCTCAACCTAGGGCAGCACTTACACCCTCAAGGCACTTGATGTGGGCGTCCGCGTTGCGTTTGAAGTCCTGTGGAGAGATGAATGGAGGGGTAACGTCACCATCACTAGTGATCACTGCAAACACCATGACGTTGACTGGATATATCACCAAACTGTTTCCGAATCCTCTGCACTGTCCTCAGATTGACACTCAAACACACTGAAATATTCGTACTGGAACTTCCGGAGCGAATGCCAAGCAGTACAGCATGCCGTTTCCAAATTTCTGGCGGAGGGAATTGCGTCTTGGTGCTCTTTTCCTCACAGACGGTGTCCAACTGACCCTACCATATTGTGCCGTCGACAAAATCCAAAACACACAACGCGCATGCGCGAAATTTAAAATATGGAATGGTGTCAATTTACCCATCGCACCCTGTACATATATGTATATGAGTGTGTTTGTGTGTGTGCGTGTAGATAGATAGATAGATAGATAGATAGATAGATATTAACAAATTATAATAGAGAGATATGAACAGGCCAACTAAGACAGAGATATGAATCTGAATAATGGCGAATTGAAAAAAGAGATAAGCGAGTGAGTGTGTGAGTGGAATGAATTGAGCGGCTGAAAATGAAGAAAGCAAAAAAACAATATATATGAAGGGGAGAGAGAGAGAGAGAGAGAGGGGAAGAAAAAGAGAGAGAGTGAGAGGGGGATGGAGAGAGAGAGAAAGAGAGAAAGAGAGAGGGGAAGAGAAGAGCAATAAAAATGAGGAGGAAAGCGAAAAGTCAAGTGTCGTCAAGAATTTCGGAAGAGAAAGAAAGAGTCTCGAAGACAAAGAATTGAATGGAAATAATGATTCTAGACAAAAGGAAAGATTAAGAACGTACTGAGAAAGAAAGAAAAAAAACCAAAAAGCAGATTTTGAGAAAGAAAGAAAGAAACAAAGAAAAAGGAAAGAAGAAAGAAAAAGAAAGAGAAAAAAGAAAGAAAGTGAAAATTTAGTGAAAATTTTTTTAGAAATTATAGAATTTATAGAAATTATAGAAATTTAGAAATTAGAAAGAAATTTAGTGAAAGAAAGTGAAAATTTAGGGGAAAAACAAAAAAAGATTTTGTTAGTAAATTTTGAGAAACAAAGATTAAGAAGTTTTGAGGAAAAAGAAATGTAAGAATAAAAAATCCTTTTGAGAAAGAAAAACCATAAAAGCAAAAATACCAGAATTTTAAGAAAATTCATTTTCAGAAAAAAAAAAAAAAAAAAAAAAACGTGGAAAGTAGCCAAATTTTGAGAAAAGCAAAATAGAAAAATACTGCGTAAAATAAAGTAATCAAAACTTTAAGAACAAAAAAAAAAAAAAAAAAAAATCCATTTTGAGAGAAAAAAAAAGACGCAAGCAAAGAATGAAGCCAAATTTTGAGACAAGAAAAAGAAAATTCTGAGAAATATAAAATCATTTTCAAAAATAATAAAAAGACGAACCGTGAAAAGAAAAATGCTGAAGCTCTTGAGAAAGAAGAAATAAAATATTAAGAAAGAAAGAAATAAAATATTAAGAAAGAAAGAAAGAAAATATCAAGAAAGAAAAAAATAAAATATTAAGAAAGAAAGAAAGAAAATATTAAAGAAAGAAAGAAAATATTAAGAAAGAAAGAAATAAAATATCAAGAAAGAAAGAAATAAAATATTAAGAAAGGAAAAAATAAAATATTAAGAAACAAAGAAAGAAAATATTAAGAAAGAAATAAAATATTAAGTAAGAAAGAAAATATTAAGAAAGAAAGAAATAAAATATTAAGTAAGAAAGAAATAAAATATTAAGAAAGAAAGAAAATATTAAGTAAGAAAGAAATAAAATATTAAGAAAGAAAGAAAGAAAAAAATCAATGTTGAGAGAAAAAAAAAGAAAGAAGCCAAATTTTGGGAAAGAAAAGAAAGGCAAATTTTAAAGGATCATTAACAGAAAAAAAAATTGTTCAAGAAAGAAAAAGAAAAAAGAACGAAAGAAAGACAAATACTGAAAATTAAAGTAGGAAGGAGAAGAATAAACACCTATCAAGGTGAGGGTTGTGGTTGTGTCGGGGAAAGAAGATTTATTCATTGTGTCATGGGGCAAGTGTTTCATTGCATATCCGTAAAAGTTCGATCTGTAATCTTGAACTAATTAGTCCTTTTGAAAACACCGACAGCAACCTGTTGTCAACTTAATTAACAACCCATAGAAATAAATTGGGAAACTAGGGAAAAGTCGAAAAAATAAAGGAAAAACTCACCTCTTAAAAAACAAAATGACTACACAAAAAAGTCGAGAATCGAAGTAAAACTAAAATAAAATGGAAAAAAAAAATCCTTCGCCAACGAAAAGAACTCCAGTCGGAGGAAGACAGACGAAACATTATAAAATGTCCTACAAACTAACAACAAACGAGCATACTTTTATTTTATTTTATTTTATTGAAATCCCCACCCCACCACGCAAAAAAAAAAGAAACAAAAAAAAAAAAAAAAAAAAAAAAAAGGATTAATTGTAAATGATTTAAGAACAATTTTGTTTTTAGATGTATTGTTAAAAGGCATTTATTTACTTAAGGTAAGAAAAACTAGCGACAGGTACTATATGAAAAGATGAAAAGACACTAAAATTAAGGGGTAAGGAAAGGGTTGGGGTGAAACGTAAAAAGCCAGGAAGATTAGAAAGAAGCTGTGTAATGCAAGAGGAGGGGAGAAAGTGAGGTGAGAAGTTTGAGAAATAAATACTGAATCGTCTAGCGTAGCGATTTTCAATCGTTGTTGACGCGGCACACTGGTATGCCGCCGGAGGAACATAGGTATGCCGCGAAAATTTTTAAAGTCCATAAATTAAATTATGTTCAAAAGAAGTCCAAAGCGCAATAAGAGTACATATCAAAATTAAAAATCCTTTAAATTGATTATACAAATATATCATTGTTGTAAAAAATAAATATGTAAAATAATGTAAAAAAGCAAGCTTTTCTTCAATAAAAAATATTAAAAACAATAAACCGATCACGGCTAGAATCCTCAGAAAAAGATTTAAGAGTATGCCTGTATAAAATTCGATCTTGCAAAGAAGATATTCTATAAAAACGTCAAGCTCAGATATCTCATTAAATGTTTAATTATAATAAAAATAAGTAGTGCAACCCCGGTTTTCGAACGTCTCACATGTCGAACAAATTGGCTTTCGAACAGAAAATTCGAGATGAAAATGCCTCGGTTATCGAACAAAATTTCGGTTCTCGAACAACATTCCGAACCAAGTTATCACGAACATTTCTGAGTCGACCGCCGTGTTGTATAGATTCATGTGTTGTGTTGTGCTGTGCTGTTTGTTTCCAATTTTATTGTACTGTGACTTTTTTTCTCTACATTGATTCCTATTGGAAAAATAGTTTCGGTTTACGAACATTTCGGGTTACGAATTAAATTCGTAAACCGAGGTTCCACGGTAAATCCTCCCAATATTTTGCATTCTTGAAATTATCGCTAACATTTTTGTCGAGATTTACAAACTCTACGTTTCGTTCAGTTTCGTAAACCAATTGTTTTTTTTTTAATTTATTGTACTACACCAACTGTACTTTGTACCCACTTACCTGTCTGACCGATCGAAACCAAATTTTTGGAAGAACCACAAAATTTGGTTTTGATTGGTCAATGTATGGCTATTTTAGACGGTGTTACGGACAGACGAACAGACATCACACAATTATATATACAGTCTCAGTTGCGGTGGACTGGTCATGTCTTGAGAATGTTTGATGACAAGATACCCAAAATCCTAATGTACAGCCTGTTATATCAGGGCTACAGGAATATAGGATGCTCATGGCTTGGATACAAAGACACGCTGAAGAGCAACTTGTCAGAAGTCAATATACAGCATAACACCCTCCAGAGCTTATCCTTGGATCGGGGAGAGTGGAGATCAACGTGTTTTAGTGCACTCAGCAGTTTTCAATCTGCTAGTCTGAATCGTCTTCTAGAAGCGAGCGCAAGATCTAAAAGGTCAGCTAATCTAACAGCGACCTCATCCCACAATCCTCACTCTTGCTCCATATGCGGCCTCCTTTGCAAATCACTAGCGGTGTCACTTAAGATTATCGCACAAAATTCATAACTGAATCACTTGGTTTTGTCAGATCCTCATACGTCGAAACCGACAGGAGAGTCCATTATATATATATATATATATATATATATATATATATATATATATATATATATATATATACCTACGCACGCTTGGACTCTCCAGCTATAAATAGGAGCAGGTACTGTCTTTTGGTGAGAGAAGATTCCAGCAATCAGCCCTGACAATCGGACCGAACATTCTTGCTGTAACACTCTCGTTTGTATTACTGTTTCTGTTAATATATTTGTTTAACTCAATTTCTCTCTTTGTGTCATTATTTCTGGCTCTAACAAGGCTACAAAAATATATATGCATAAATTATAATAAATTGTTTTGATTGTGTTAATAAATAAATAATAAAAAGTAAACTCTCCTTTCCGATCTTTTGAGCAGGAAAAGAGGTTTATCTCTTGTTTCTTGTTTAGGATTGGCTTTCCGGTTTCATCAAATTTCTTTTCATTCCCTTTCACTCCCAGTAGCTCCATGCATCTTAGTGACATTTTCACCTTGCTTGGGGGTGTATTGATTAAAAAATGTAGTCTTTTTTTTTTTTGCTTTTACTCTTTTTTTAATCATCGTAATTTAAATGTGTCGCGGAAGTTTAATTATAGGTTCAAGTGTGCCGTGAGATAAAAAAATATAAAGGTTGAAAAACATCAGTCGCGACACTTGCTATAGTTTCCCAGCCTCGGAGTAAATAAATACATAGTCAAATAAAAATAGATTAACAAAATAAGATATCTCAAAGCAAATGAGTCAGCACTCATTCTCTTCTAATAAAAATGTGAATTAACTGAAAGGAATCGGTTGTCTCATTGTCGAAGAATGATTAGCAAGCAAATTTCGCAGACCATTAGACGTGAAGTAAGATCGATTCTTACTGGTTGCTATAGACCTGTGGCGTCATACACAAAGCTTACTATTAAACTGAATAAAATCTTTGCCAGGTCCATAGAGTTTATGGGTTATTGTCGCACTATGGGCTTCTTCTTCTTCTTCTTCTTCTTCTTCTTCTTCTTCTTCTTCTTCTTCTTCTTCTATGAGCCATGTTCCTTTAGGACGTTGTCGATCATAGCTCTCCCCAACCTCCTATAACTTATAGCTTTGAGCAACGTTTGTCTCTCTCCCAAACCCCAAATCCTTATCACTAAGTCGTCAGTCAAGTGGTCCGCTTCCTTCCCCTGTTCCTTTTGCCTTCGATACGTCCCGTGAGTGTTAAATTCGTCAAGCCTCCCTTCCTCATTATGTGTTCAAGTAATTTCAGCTATCTCTTTCTGATTCTGAGTGCAAGTGTCCTTATTTTCATTTTCCTTCCCACTTACGCGCTCCGTCCATGATATTCTCAACATCCTTCTGTAGGACATTCTGTTGCTTTCAGTTTTCTCCTCTTGTGTGAGGAGATTGGCGAGCATTCTCAATCATGCAAGAGGATTGCCATTACATAGCAGTTCAGCACTTCATTTCTTTGTCTCTAGCGAAATTTTCCTGTTTCTTAGTTCTTTTCTTAGCTTTTGGAAGGCATCTTTTTCTATTCCAATGTACGTTGCATTTTCCATCCTTTGTTAAAACTTCTGCACTTGTTTGATTTTGGCATCTCGAATTTGTAACTCGCATCTTGGGTTTTTTTCTCTTGATGGTAACCATGCATTCAGTCTTTTTACAGTTGGCAGTTAGTCTTTTCTTTCCGCTATCCTCTATTACTCTCTCTAGTGGGTCTTATAGTTCCCGCACTAAGATAAGCACAGTTAATATAACAAAAGATGTGAATTTGAACCTCATTAGGGATCTAGCATTCGCGACAATGTATTTGGTTCGAGGATAGGCTTTCCGGTTTATATGCTTTGTATTACTGTTTCTGTTAATATATTTGTTTAACTCAATTTCTTTCTTTGTGTCATTATTTCTGGCCCTAACAAGGCTACAAAAATATATATGCATAAATTATAATAAATTGTTTTGATTGTGTTAATAAATAAATAATAAAAAGTAAACTCTCCTTCCCGATCTTTTGAGCAGGAAAAGAGGTTTATCTCTTGTTTCTTGTTTAGGATTGGCTTTCCGGTTTCATCAAATTTCTTTTCATTCTCTTTCACTCCCAGTAGCTCCATGCATCTTAGTGACATTTTCACCTTGCTTGGGGGTGTATTGATTAAAAAATGTAGTCTTTTTTTTTGCTTTTACTCTTTTTTTTTAATCATCGTAATTTAAATGTGTCGCGGAAGTTTAATTATAGGTTCAAATTGGTCGCTGGTATTTGAGACTGTAAGCATTTATTTGGTTCGAAGATAGACAAATATTGGTCGCTTGTATTTGGGGTTGTAAGCATTTGTTTGGTTCGGGGATAGGCAAATATTGGTCGCTTGTATTTGAGGCTGTAAGCATTTGTTTGGTTCGAGGATAGGCAAATATTGGTCGCTTGTATTTGGGGCTGTAAGCATTTGTTTGTTTCGAGGATAGGCAAACATTGGTCGCTTGTATTTGGGGCTGTAAGCATTTGTTTGATTCGGGGATAGGCAAATATTGGACGCTTGTATTTGGGGCTGTAAGACAAGGAAATATTATTACAATTAAAGGGAATTTAATTCTCACCGGCTGTCTTCCGTGCGATTGCATATTTCTGTTTTCAAGTCTTAAAAGCTCTCATTACTGATATAATATAATTTTACCTAAGATAAACTTTAAAATGGAAAAATTAAAAAATCAGTTATTACAGCAAAGAGAATGAGCATAATTTTAATGTTAGCTTTGATGATTGAAATATTACTGGATAGCCATTACTATGGAAAATATTACACAGTGATCTCCCGCCTATTCACTTTTCAGCATTCGCGCCTTCAAAGATTTGAGGATTTTTCTTTAGAACATATGTCATTATTATTCACTGAAACCCCGAATATTCGCGTGTTTCTCTGAAGAACATATGTACAAATTATTCGCTGGGAACT